GTACCTTGTGTAATCCTTCTAATGCTATAGATTTTTATGCACATATACTTGCCCTGTTTGGTTGTCACATTTTATGGCTATCTTTATTTGGGAATTATGATGGGAGCATTTGTAGTGGAGTTAAGAGAAAGGTTGTCACATTAACTTATGTTCATTCTCTTTATTTTAGAGAAAGTTGAATGGAATTCCTCCTACTATATTAGAATTGTTTCGTCACACACACCAACGGAAGGACAAGTCGTGGGTGGATAGGAGATCAGAGCAAGTTAATGTAGTGAACTTTAACATTCTACTTTTAGTTTGTTTTTATTTTTGAAGCCATAATTATTCTTAAATTGGTGTTGATAGGAAAAATTTTCATGCATATTTGAAGAATTAACCCAAAAAGCAAATGAAGAAGGAACTACTCCACCAAATGAGTTAGATGTGTGGTGTGATGTAGCTAGAACCGAGAAAGGAAAAATATATGGCCTTGGAATGGAATCTTCTGTAGTGGTAGGAAGACCTTATTATCGTGGCACTTCTTCTTCCTCAAATGAGTGGGTACAAAGACAATAACTTGATGAATTAAAAAAAAGATTTGGAAGAAGTTAAAAATGAAATAGATGAGCTTCGAGTTAAAGTTGTAAATATTGAGAAACTCTTTGAGCAAAACAATGCAATGATACGACAATGGATGGATAGTATTAATCGTCATTCCATGCCGCCTAGTATAGAGGATAATGAAGATGAAGATGAGACACAACCACCCAAGCAACCATTCAATCCTAATAGAGGTAACTTACTAATTAAAATATTTTTTACAACAAATACAAAATGGTTATAGTTAAACCAAATAGTATTTATCATAGTTGAAAATGGTATGATGTTATTAACTTAGTTGGAAAATATCTACATGGGTAATTGTGATTTTATTAGGAAGAATTTCACCTTTTCTTGTCAAATTATAATCATTCATTTAAACTAATATACAATAATTAAAGTTGGTGAATGAAGATAGTACGTACTATATATGTTTTGTATAGCATTCCAATTTTGTATAGCATATTTTTTTTCTTGGATCAATTTATATTTATTTATTTTGTACTTTTTTATGTAGATGACTATTTTAGAAAAAACAAAAGAATGTGATGTACAAGAAGAGTTCCGGGTACAAGATGAAGTTTTTATTTTTGAAGCCATAATTATTCTTAAATTGGTGTTGATAGGAAAAATTTTCATGCATATTTGAAGAATTAACCCAAAAAGCAAATGAAGAAGGAACTACTCCACCAAATGAGTTAGATGTGTGGTGTGATGTAGCTAGAACCGAGAAAGGAAAAATATTTTTTTATAAAAGACCAAAATGTGTATCTTTGTCATTATTTTTATTACATGATTTTGAAAGTTATAAATTAATTCCTAACTAAGAGGCACTGCCACCTTTGCTGGAATTAATCTATATTTTCCTTTATATGATTTCTTGAGTTTTGATACTTACATGTTGACTTTTTATGATTTATGAGTTACGAATGTGAATCTTCTACCTTATGATATTTGAGACAATTATTTTATCCATGAAAGATGTTATCAAACTATGAAAGATTTTATTTATTCAAAGGAAAAAAAATTATTATTGTTTACATTTATTGTGTGTTAATGACTGAGGTAGAGGGTGTCACACGTCCCTCCTTCCCTTCTCATAAAATAATTAAAATAATTAAACATATTTTCTCTTTTTAAAAAGTAACATAAATATAATTCTTGATAAAAAAATATTTTCATAAAAATAGTCTTATACTAAATAATCCAAATATTAATTAAAAATCATGTTTTATATTAAAATTGAGCTCGCATAAAACAGATAAATAATATTTTCTCTTTTAGTAAAAATAATATACGTTTATTATAAAAATAGAACTCATATCCATTAGCTAAATAATATTAAAAATCATTCTAATAAATGCATTAAAATATTAAAATAAATACAAACATATCATTAATAAAATACATTCCATAAAAGTTACTTATATATCACTAATCAAAATAATCATTATAAATCATGTCTGATAAATAAAATATAGCTCATATAATTAATTAAGCAATATCAAAAGTCTAAAATAACTATATTAAATATCAAAATAATTTCAAAAATATTATTTATATAAAGTATGAAAAACCAGGATGTTACAAATTAAGCTAGGCAAGATACGTCCCATTCACATAAAGGGCGAGATTGAGACTTCCAAACTAAGTTATCCCTAAGAAAAAATTCCTAAGTTTTTACACAAGGGGGTCTTCCTTGGTGATGTATTACATACCATATCCTTAAAAACACACTTATGCAAATGATACATGTCAAATAAGACTCTATGCATTATTACATCACAATATCACATCATATCATGGTTAAGTCTTGTTTAGACTTCTTATCATATGACCCTCACAGGATCCATACACACCAATTGTATCAATATCAAAGCATATCAATCAATTCATACATAGCTCATGACCATATGTCAATATCATACTCACATAACACAACTATTTATCAACATTAATCGGTAGAATGATTACACATGTTCACAAATCAAACACAACATTTACAAAACATATTTCAATACACCTCAATAAAATCATTATAATATTATCTAATCATTTTTTAACACATTAACCATAGTCACTAAGAGATCAACATCACTAAGCATTTAAATCAATAGCTTAACTAGTCTAACAACTTTATGAATATCACACATTAAGTTCTTAAACATCGTTATCACCAAAACACCTCAAGTCGTTAACAATTAACTCACATCATAACTTATTTACAATTGTTTTCTTATATGATTTATATTTCCTTAACATTGATATAGGTGCCTCAAGCCATTTGTAAGATGAAACACTTAAAGGGTAAAGTCATTCATCATCACCATTCACAAACTACATTTCCACAACTTAAATTTTTAAGACCTCATGTAGTCCAAAGACCATATATAGAGATATGCATATGTTATCACGTTGATATTAATTTTATTAGAAAGTTAATCCAATTATCTACAACTTCCATGATGATCTCAAAAGCTAATTCTGCCATCTACTATTTTTACAAATTATAAGAACGCAATGTTTTAACCTAAATTTGATAGTCTGACCTTTGCTCACTAATTTAATCATAGCTCGAGTTATAGACCTCTATTTTAGGTGATTTTAACATAATTTGAAAGCTAACATCTAAGATTACAACTATTATGAATACACCAAAGGCTAATTCAGTCATTTGGGATGGTTGCACAGGCATGCAAATGGGTGCACATATGTGCCAATTGTGATTCAGAATGAGACTTTTCAACACTGATTGCACGGGTGTGCAACAAAGTGCACATGCATGCTAGTTGCTGCCGTGGGTGAAATTCATTGTAACAAAGTGCAAAAATTGCACATGACTGACCCCAAACTTCAGATCAATTGGTAAAAATAATGATTAAAGCTTAATACTATTCTATTATACCCTCAATTACTGTAATCCAATCTCAATTTCACATTCTAATTACATACTTGTATTAACTACTCACACAATAACCATTTAAAGTTTCCATGGGAACTCGCAATCCAAACTTCACAATTATACATTCAATCACAAAATTATAGACATATACAACTACACAACATCAAATAAAATTATAAGAAATTTCCACTTTTAAAAACTTAACACCTCACCATAGTTATAAATTCCTTTTCCCTTAATAAATCAATCAATAAATAAAGTATTTAATTATAAAATCTTATAATATATATATCTATATACATATACAAATAATTAAAACAAATATTAAAATCAATCCAAATAATTATAACAAAATATAATAATTAATAATTAACAAATACACACATGCGCGCATGTACAAACATATATAAAATAAATGTTTTCTCCCAACACAATTACAATTAAAATAAAGTATATAAATAATAAAAAAATTATAATAAAAACACACAAACACACAGACACATGTACACACAGAGACACAAACACACACACACACACACACACATATATATATATATATATATATATATATATATATTCAAATACTTTTTATAACAAAATATCATAAAAATACATATTTCTCTAATAACATTATACAAAATAATTTTTATAAATATTTATTATTTAATTAAAATATTCACAATTATTAAAAGCTTATAAAATATTTTATAAAACCTCTTTAATAATTAAAACAATTACAAGAAAATAACTTTAATAAATATAAAAATAAATAATATTAAAAAATTATATTAGTAAAATCTTGAGATGTTACCACTTTTAATATAATTCATATATTTAAAATAATATTTATTTATGTAATTTATTATAAATTTTAATTAAATATGATAAATATATCTATATAATATATAAACTAAAATTTGAATGTCTTATATATTATATATTTCATACACCAATTCAATTGAGAGCTAATATTCTAATGTAATTAATGTGAATAAAAATTATTTTGTAATATATTTAACAAAATTATTCTATATATTTTTAATTTCATATATTATATATTATATTTATTTAATTTATTTCTTATTGATAAAATTATATTATTTGATTATTATAATTAAATACTAGTTATAAACTATGTTTAATATTTATTGTAATTGATATTTTAAAGATAAATAATATCAATTATATATATATATATATTTTGTAAAAGTTAAAATGTAATATTAGTTATATTTATATCTATTTATTATATATAAATAATACGATGATTCAAATAATATTAAATTTATTATAAATTTTGTTTATAAATTTTATGTTATAAATATTTTATGAAGTTTTATTGAAAATGATTAAATCAAACATATTTTTAAAATTAAAAATAAAAAATAATAAAAAATAAAAACAGAAATCAAACCACCCTTCTTAACATTTGAATTAAAATCAAAGAGATCTAACGGTTTAAAACGTGTTTCCATGTCCTCCACCCTGTTGTCCACGTTTCATAAATGAAATGAAACCAATGCAGTGTAGAATTTCAAAAGGCTAAAAGAAAATTTGCATTTCCCGCACAATGTTGATTCGGCTTCCGTCCCCAATCCTTCTCTAAGCCAAACACGCCGCAAGCAGCGAGAGCGAAACTCCAAAGTCCAAACATCACAATGGAGCCTTCGAAGAACAACGCCCAAGCCCAAGCCCAAGCCGAAGACGACGACACCGTCGCGCTGAAGAAGAAGAGGGCGCGCCGCGTGAGCTTCGCCGACAACGAAATCACCTCCGTCCATGTCTTCCGCCGCGACGACGACTCTTCTTCTCCCTCCGAAGCGCCCTCCGATCCCTCCGTCGTAGGGTTCTTCCGCGACCTCGCCTCCGACAGCGACGACGACGAGCCGCCGCAACTAGACGACGCCGACGCCGCCCAGGCCGGAAACTCCTTCCTCCGCCCAATCGGCTCTCCCTCCCCCGGCGGCAGCAGCACCACCGCCGATGACGTCGACGGTAAGCCCTAACAATTTCCTTTCGCTTCACTCGGTTTCGCTTGCTCACGTTTGTTGCACTTGCTTCCGGTGTATGCAGATGATGACGACGACTTTCACGGTCCGGTGTCGGCTTGTTTCATCAGACCGGACCGGTTGTCGGACTCCGGCGTCTCCGACGACGTCACGATGGACTCCACGGCGTTCTCGCTGCATTACCGGAGTTTCGCTCGGTCGGATTCCGGCGACATCAAGACGCGCCAATTCGGCGGCTTCACGACGCCGAGCACTCAGGGAAGTTACATGGAGCTCACGGAGGCGAAGAGGCCGCTAGAGGTGGCGCTGGATCCGGAGATAAGCGCTGGCAGAGACTCGAACGACATGAGCATCGAGGGAGAGCACCAAAGTAGTTGCGAATACGACGAATGCTCTCCCGCGTTTGATGCAATTTTGGCAGAAGGAGCGCCTAAAGACTCGACACAACGCAACATGGAAGGTTTGGTTGCCTCTCCACATGCTCAACTTAACCAAATACAACACTCTGAGTCTTCAACGAAGGTGAGAAATAATATCTTCTTCTTAAGGTTTGATTAGATAAACTTGTTTAGAACCATTTCTCAGAGAAAAATAAATTGGAAAAAAAATGAAATAACCTTGGGCATAAGTTAAAACTAGCATATACATAAAACTAATTTTGTAATTTTTTTTAGAGAAGTTATACAAGAGGACTTTTACAAATTAGCCAATGCATAACGTAATTTGTAATTCTTTAGAGAAGCTTTACGAGAGAGCCTCTACAAAATAACCAATGCATAAGCTAATTTTAGCTTATGAAAAATCGTATTTTCTTTTTCCTTTCTACTCCTAACAGGGCTTCAGGAGAAATTTATCCAAACACACTCTTATTTTAGGAGCCTTCTTGCAATTTACATTTGTTTGTTTCTTTGGTTCTTCCGGTCGTTTTTTAGGAGGTATAACTTTTGTTTGCATATTGTATGATTTTGATTTGATTGATGGTTTTAAGTTGAAGGTGAGTATGGTTTATTAACGATATACTTTTGTGGCTATCCTTATATCTCCTATTGATGCTGTTAAGGTTGTGTGTAGGTTTAAGTCATGTTATTTTGTTTTGCAGGAAATTGAAGAGTTTACTAAAGATGAAGATGCAACTGTGTCAATTTGTAGACAACTGGACTTTGAGAAAGATAATAGAGGAACACCACTAGAGAGAGTACAGGTGTCTGACTCCAATCATAAGTCTGATCAAGTAAACCGAAATCCAATACATGGGTTTACGCCATTGTCATTGTCTGGAAGAAAACAATTGAGTTCTCCTCATTCATCCAGGCATGCTGGAAATGTAACTCCAGCCTTGGAGCCAACTGATTTGTTTGGTTTGGCAGTCCATGTTGCACATGGTGCAACTTCATCTTCTGTACATAGGAGAAGCATTTCGAAGATGAAAACTCTTGAGACTAGCCCTATCATGTCGAGTGTCAAAGATGGAATGGACATATTGAAAGCTAGATTATCAAAATACTCTCCTGGATTTTCTCTGTCAAATAAAAGAGATCGTGAATACAAGCAAGATGAAAGTCACCGAACTCCTATAAAGGAAAAACTGTTTAGTTTAACACCAGAGAGCAACATGTGTAAACATTTGGTTGATAGTAATGATTGTGGAATTCAGTCTTTTAAGAATATTTGCAAGTCAAGTCAAAATGAGGAGACTGTGAACACCAAAATGGACGAGGAAAACTTAAATTTGATTTTAGATAATGTTTCTTATAATGATGAAAATTCTAAAGCTGTGGAAATGCCAGCTTCACCCTCACAAATAACTCATTTAACGAAGGTGGTAGATGTGGAACTGGAAGATATCACGGCTGAGGAAGGGAAAGATGAAATTCTGGTTCCTAACCTTTGTATCCAAGAGGTAACAACTCCGTTGCATTCCCTGCGGGACCCTCTTAGTATTCAAGACTTGTCTCCCAAGGGTAACTTAGATGGTAATGGTCTTGATAACATCTACCATTCAGTACTCCAAGTAGCTCAAAGCCCTCTTACTAAATTAGGTATTGAGATTTCTTCTGGGAAGAAAAGAAAAGGTGTTGAGTTATTAAGCAATGGAGATAATATAGATAAAATAGGGAGGATTGATAGCAGCCCAGTGGTTCGGAGAAATGGGAATGGTGACCAGTTAGTTTTGGAGCAAACAGGTTCTGTGAGAAGTGAAAGAGAGAAGCTTGGAGATCAGACATGGAATGATGGGGATCTTGTATGGCTTCTGTTTTTTTATGTTGTGTCATATATAATTTCAGTTGTTTAGATGAGCCTCTGAACTTTTCAAATACGTTGCAGATTCTTAAAAATTTCTTAGTGGAAACAAATCAGTTGCTACCTTCTTCAATTGACAAGCTAAATTTGAGATCGGTATGTTCTAATACGTGGGTGTAGGCTTTAAAAATGACAGTATTCAAATAAAATTGTGGATTTTCTTGCATACAATTTAGTTTTTATTGTTCACATAAATTTGTAGCTATTTATATAAATAATTCATTTCTCCCCTTCAATATTTAGATTGGCAGGCTGGAAGATATCTTGGTTCATCTGCAGAAAGTTAGGAAGGTGGAGATTCTTTGTTCTGAAATTCAATCTCAGGTCTGTTAGATTAGATAATCAAATTTAACACACCTTTCTGGTTATATTATATCATGAACAACTTACATTTTATGGTAATTAGAACATATTTCTTTCTCTAAAGACAATATAAGCCTGGAATCCATTTATTTAAATCACATGGTTTTGTTTCTTTGTTTCCAGAACAAAATAACTGATCATGTAAACTTTCTTAGAGAAAAGAGGTATGTTTATGCTGTTTGACTAAGTAACACTGGAATGTGAATTATGCTGTTTGATACATGTATGGTTATGAAACTGTTTTTGATATGATTGGTGATGTGAGCTTAAAGTAATCTTTGCAGGGTTGCTGAAACAAAAACATTGCTGTATAATATAGCATATGAGAAGGCAAAGTTACAACTATTGCATCTGAAGCATGACAAATTACAGGTATTCTATCTTACGTCTTACATGTTAGTATTTAGCCATGCTCACGGTTGGTGACATGAACTTCCCCTGTACACAGAAAAAGGTACAACAGGTAAGCTCTGGGCTTCAAGAGTGTGAGAAGATAAAATTAAATTTGATTCCATCTTCATCTAAAAGTGGGGCAATGGACACTCAAGCTGATGATAGTCACACTCGTACAACATTGTCTAGTTCCCAGGGAAGATGTCAGGTATAATTATGTGCGAGTGAAGTATATTTAAATTGACAGGAAGTTGGGGACTGGGGAAACATGGTTATTGGAAAAAAAATTTGCACCGGTGGGTTGTGGGTCCATCCACCAGGAATGCATGAAACAGGGTTGCCTCTTATCAGGCTCTAGATATCATTAAGAGAAGAGAATGAGAGACTTGACGAAAATTGTGCTGAAGTACATAGTGGAGCTGAATTATATAGACTAATAATAAAGTACAATACTCAACTATTATAAGTCCAAACAAAATCCAAATAAAATCAAAGTTATACATGTTCAAATAAAATTGAATTCATATAAGTCCAAATAAATTGAATATTAGCGGGTAGAGGTATCTGCGGTACAAATACTATTATACTTGTATCCTTCCTGTTAACATGCGGGTATAAAAAATATATGTATCTGATACCCTTGGATACCCGTTTACAATATTCATTTTCTACCCGTGGTTGATTTTATCTGCGGATACCTGTGGGTACGGGTTTTTTTTGCATCCCTTGTTACCCCAATACTGTGAACCTGGATGCTATTTACGTATTTTCAACAATTTCCTTATTTAGTTAGGGTTTTTAGTCTAATATTGATTCATCAAGGAGTTGTACTTCGTACATTGTCTTATGGATCCATCACATGACAACACATCATATGATTTTACATGGATCATATCATTATATAAGAGAATATTATTTAAAATCTTTATTCTTTCTCTTCCTTCTTTCATATCTAACTGCCTGAAACCAACTATATTTTGACTAAAGGCCAAACAAGTTTGACCTTAACAAAAGTAGGCGACCCTTGTCCTGAAGAAAAACAAATGATTGTGTTAGACTCAAGAATTTGAACAAAAACCAGAAGATTTAATTGACAGGATTCTGGAATTAATTTAAAACTTCTAGTACAGAACAAGTACATAGGCATAAGCCCTAACAAAGAATTTCCTTCAAACAAACTTCAGCCATTTGAAACAATGAATCAGAGATCTGTTACATCCTATTTAAGAAATACGCATTATAATTATTGATATCACCAATTTATTCTAAAGATCTTCCAAGTGATTAATTGTAGATAGCTGCGTGGAGCAGCTGATCCCATCAATATTATACAATGAAAATAATTTCTAATGCACAAATAATAGATGATCAGAATTTATAATTCCTCAAAATATAATCATTATTTATACTCAATATGGATAGTTTAAAGATACAGTTATTGTTAATCCGAGACATAATTATCAATAATAAATCAATTATATTCTGCTTAATCCTAAGTTTTGTTAGATGCATGATGTATTTTCCTTTGCATTTGTCCCTTGTTCCTGTTCAAGTGTCCATAGTTTGATGGTGCAACTTGATCATAAGAGGTTTGAATTGTCTGCCATAGCATTTCAATTGGCAATATGTTATTGTTCATTGCTAGGTTTCTTGCAACAAAGTATTGGAAAAGAAGCAGGAGCTTGAAACTTTGGATTCGAAAGCAAAATCCTTAAGTGAATTCCTATGCAGATACTGCAAGATAGGAGGGGATCAAAGCTATACCAACACCATGAAAGCTGTTTCTGGTTATTTGCAGAAGAGGATGCCTTGCAAGTATATACTCCAGAGTTTGAAGGTCTTGTGACTTTAAATATGGTTCTTGTTCACATACAAGATATGTATATCATTTTCTGAATTCTGGCAAACCTCCTCTTTGTTTCTACTTTTTCCTCCCAGTTATGGGAAATGGAAGATTTTGAGCACAAGGATGGTTGTTACAAAGTTTGTCTCAACTATTGTGGTTATATAACCCAGAGGTTAGTTAATCCTTCTTGGCTTCCTTATTTTTGTGATTGGAGCTTAAGTATATCTTTCATGGTATGACTAAATGTGGAACTTACTACTTAATTTAATGGAATGTAGGTTCACAGTAAATACTGGTCATTCTAGCATAGTAATATCAAATAACTTGAATGATGTGAATATCGGAAAGGTGATTTGGTTGACAATTTATCTGTTTTATTATAACATTCAATATTCATATTCTTTTTCTAAAATGGTGTGTCTATTCTTCAGACCTTTTCAAACTTGGATGCTTTTTCTGCATTCTTGTTTGTCTTAAATCCTCTTATCTCAAAGAAATGCACTGGTTCACGCAGTATGGCACATGAAACACAGGTGGATTACTTTAACTCTTATGATAATGATAATTTTCTTGTAGCAAGTTGGTTTATATTTTTTATTTCATATTTTCTATCCTTTTTTAGGGGTTACTATAGTTGAAAAAAGAAAAATTGTATATTGATTGTGTATTTTGTACATTCTCTAATATCCCTATTTATAGAGTAAATAACAATGCTTAAATAAGAAAATAACAATAATAAAGAAATAGGGAAACAAATATCTAAAGATATTTAAAGATATTCTAGATCTTCTAAGTATCTATAATATTTACAGCACTCCCTCTCAAGTCGATAAATAAATGTCGATCATTCCCAACTAGCCAATATGATCTTGGAATCTAGCACTTGGAAATCCTGTTGTGAAGACATCTGTTACTTGAACTCTTGTAGCTATGAGTTATAACTATAAGGGAACCATCCAACTTCTCTTTGATGAAATATTTATCAATCTCTGTATTTCCTTTTGTCATGTTGAACTTGGTTATGAGTGGTGTTGATATACGAATTGTTATCACAAAACAACATTCGACCTCGTATTTAACTTTAAGGTCATCAAAAATAACTTTCATCCATAATCCTTCACATATATGCCATGTGCCATAACTCAAAACTCAACTTCTGAACTAGATATAGCAACTACATTAGTACATTTGTTTCTTGCTTCTACATGTTACTAGATTTCCACCAAGAAACATACAATAACCGAAAATGGATCTTCTACTTGTGATGGACCTTGCATAGTCAACATTAGTGTATATCTCCATGAACAATAAGCCTTTTCTTTTCTTTTAAATATGTTAGAATAGCTTATTAGGGAAGCTTTTGTATTTAATATTATCTTCTTTTGTATGTCTGGTCAGCAGTCCTAGGCTCTCAGCAGTCCTAGGCTCTTAGCCTTTTTCAGCCTATGTTGTATGTTTTTATATACTCAATCAAGTAATGAAGAAAGTGTGAGAAACACTTTTCCAAAACCATCTTAACATTCAAGTTGGTATCAGAGCGGGTCCGATTCCGCTCTGTCGCTCTCCGTCGTTCGCCACCTCTGGTCACCGTTCGTCGTCGCTGGCCACTGTTCGTCGCCGGCCGTCGGCGACCAAATTCTTTGATGAACGTAGGGTTTGGTGCGCCTCGTTGAGCACGACCCAACCTTGTTGGTTTTGAGCGCATCGAAGTCTCCATGCGCTCCCACGCGCCGCTCCAAGTGTCTGGTCCGTCAAGCGCGTGTGTCTCGCGCTGCCTTCTGGTCGCTGGAAGCAGTGATTTAAAACCCGGATCAAACTCGCCAGTCGGACCGGTTGGACCGGGAACCGGTGGTCCAACTGGTCCGAATCTTAAGTTGGATCGGTTATGCAGTCGACCCGTTTCAAACCAGATTGAACTGGTCAATTTTCCAGTTCAACCGGTGAACCGGTAGGTCAAACTGGTTCAACCACTTTTTTTTCTTATTTTTTTAAGGGACCATAAACTACAAAAATAATAATGAAAATTGAATCTCTTAATGGAAGAGCAAAGAGTCTTATTAAATATAACAATGACTACTTGTTCTAATGTATTTGTTTGTAATATATACAACTTAAATAACTTTTATAGTATATTATTAATTTTAAATTATATATTTAATAATATAATATCTATGTAGATATTACATATATTATTTTGTGATATCAATTGCAAGCATATTATATATGTACATATTATTTATATTTTTAATTTATATTAATATATAGTTTAACATGTAATTTTTTTATGTATTTTTTTATAAAATAAAAATAAAAATAATTTTAAATAAGATAGAAAAATTGAAATTTAAAATAAGATATGAATTTATTAAAATTTATGTATAAAATATATTTAATATGAATATTTTTTTTAATAAAAATAAATAAAAATCGAGTCATGTAGTTTAACTAGTGACCCACCGGTTCAATCTTTTGACCTACTGACCCAGTACCTTAACTGGTTCGATGATTGGTCCGGTTTTTAAAACTATGGCTGGAAGTCCGCCACGCTGCCACCGTTGTGCTCGTTTGAGCTTTCTGGGTTTGTTTCAGACCTCAATTTATTGTTCTAGTTGGTCGTTTGGGTCGCGGTCACTGTTCATCTTCTTCCATTCATCTTTATTTCCAATTTTCTTCTTCTACCATGGCTTCTTTAGGTCCTGCTCTTGCTATTGCCGGTACACCTACCATTACTACAGAAAAGTTAAATGGGAAGAACTATCTCTCATGGGCTGCATTTGTGGAACTTTGGTTCCTTGGTCAAGGACACCATGACCACCTAGTAAAGGAAGACATTGAGGGGTTAATAGAGAATAAAGCTCAGTGGAAGAAAGTTGATTTTCAGTTATGTGCTATTTTGTGGTAATCTGTGGAACCCAATATACTGGGAACACTTAGAGCCTTTAAAACTTGTTGCTCTTTTTGGAAGAAGGCTCAAAGTATCTATGCTAATGACATTCAAAGGCTATATGATGCTGCACAAAAATTAGCCTCTTTGAGACAAACTAGTCATGATATGGTTTCTCATGTGGCTGAAGCTCAAGCTGCTGTGGAAGAACTAAAATTATTTTTTGATGATGAGTTATTGGAAGGAATGAAGAAAAAACTTGATAGGCTATATATGGTGATGATTTTACGAACATTGCATTCAGACTTTAATCATGTTCGTAAAATCATCTCCTGACCGGTCATGAAATTCCTTCAATGGACAACTTAGTTACTAGACTACTTTGAGTTCCAACTGAAGCCAAGAGTGAAAATTCTACCGCCATTGTTGAAGCTTCTGCTATGGTCTCTTCCCGGGGAAGAGGTGGTCGTGGAAACCGAGGAAGAGGGGGTAGAAGTAGTCGTCCTCAATGTTCTTACTACAAAAGGATGGGTCATACTCAAGAGAATTGTTACTCTCTCCATGGTTTTTCAGAAAAGATAGCAAATCTGTCAAAATCTGATCAATCAGAAAAGTTTGATAGGAAGATTCCTGAAAATGATTATCAAGAATATCTTCAATGGAAAGCTATGAGTCAAGCTTAATCTTCCTTTACCCCTACTATTTCTACAACCTGTATTTCTCAATTAACTGCAAGTCAAAGTCCATGGATCATTGATTCAGGTGCCTCTGATCACATAGCTGGTAATGATTCTCTATTCTTGTCCATGTCCTCTCTTAAATCACCCCATCTTATCACCTTAGCAGATGGATCCAAAATTGCTCCCAAAGGAATTGGTCAAGTTTCACTTTCTCCCATGTTAAATTTAAAATCTGTTTTATTTGTCCCTAACTGTCCTTTCAATTTAATCTCTTTGAGTCAATTAACTAAATCCTTAAACTGTTTAGTAACTTTTAATGCTGAATCTTGTGTCATTCAAGAACGTGGTACGGGCAGGATGATTGGCGTAGGACATGAATTTGGTGGTCTTTACTATTTTGGAATGCAACCATCTGCATCTTGTGTTGTTGTTTTGCCACCCAAGCTTTTGCATGATCGTTTGGGTCATCCAAGTTTGTCCAAGTTGAAACTCTTAGTTCCTAGTCTCAAAACATTGGAAGAGTTAGGTTGTGAGTCATGTCAACTAGGCAAACATGTTAGATCATCCTTTCCCAAACAAATTGAAAAAAGATGTAACTCAGTTTTTACCACCATTCACTCTGACATTTGGGGTCTAGGCCATGTAACATCTTTTGGTTTCAGATATTTTGTAACCTTTATTGATGAATTTTCTCGATGTACTTGGGTGTAGTTAATGAAAGATCGTTCTGAACTTTTGTCTATATTTGTTTCTTTCTTTAATGAAATTCAGAAACAATTTGGAAAAACAATCAAAATTTTTAAAAGTGATAATGCCAAAGAATATTTCTCCTTTGAATTATCTTCCTTTTTATCCTCACAAGGTGTTTTACATCAGTCTACATGTCCACACACACCCCAACAAAATGGAATAGCAGAAAGGAAAAATAGACACCTTGTAGAGACTGCACGCACCCTGATGCTCAATGCAAATGTTCCTGTACATCATTGGGGTGATGCAATTCTTATAGCCTGTTTTTTAATAAATAGAATGCCATCTTCTTCTCTTGAGAATAAAATTCCTTACTCGATTATCTTTCCAAAGGAACCCTTGTTTCATGTCTCACCTAGAGTCTTTGGGTGTACATGTTTTGTCCATGATGTCTCTCCTGGTTTAGATAAGCTATCGGCTAGGGCTATCAAATGTGTTTTTCTAGGCTATTCTCGTCTCCAGAAAGGGTACAAGTGTTACTCTCCAAAGACCAAAAAATTTTACATGTCTGCGGATGTTACCTTTTTTGAACAAACTCCCTTTTTCCTATCCTCTACAAATGATTCTGTGACAATCCAACAGGTTCTACCTGTCTGTCTCTTCCCATCTGTCCATACCACTTCAACCTTTAGCCCCTAATCAAGAGGTCACTCAACCCACCTTGTCCACAAATAGACCCATTTCCGATACTTCATCTCTTCTTCTCACTTATTAGCGTCGAACTCGACAAATTGATTTGACAATACTTGAAGAACCACCAACTTCATCTCCTTCACCATCAAGTCCCCCTACTACGGGTCCTAATGATGAGAGTTCAGGCTGGCCAATTGCCCTTCGCAAAGGTATTCGTTCGACTCGGAACCCTCATGCTATCTATAATTTTTTGAGTTATCATCGATTATCTCCTTTATATTGTTCTTTTATCTTCGCTATATCTCCTTTAACCATTCCTAAAAAATGTCCATGAGGCACTTGATCATCCTGGATGGCGACAAGCTATGATTGCTGAAATGCAAGCTCTTGAACATAGTGACACCTGGGAGTTAGTACCACTTCCTCTTGGTAAACAACCAGTTGGTTGTAGATGGGTCTACGCCATTAAAGTTGGGCCTGATGGTACAGTTGATCGACTCAAAGCCCGATTGGTGGCCAAGGGATATACTCAAATTTATGGCCTAGATTATGGTGATACCTTTTCTCCTATGGCCAAAATCCCTACAGTTCGTCTCTTCCTTGCTATGGCAGCTATTCGGCATTGGCCTCTCCAGTCCACCAATTAGATATTAAAAATGCGTTTCTTCATAGGGAGTTGGAGGAGGAAATTTACATGGAGCAACCTCTTGGGTTTGTTGCTCAGGGGGAGTTTGGTTTAGTTTGCAAATTGCGAAGATCCCTTTATGGTCTCAAACAATCTCCTCGAGCTTGGTTCGGAAAATTTAGTCATGTGGTGCAGAATTTTGGGTTGAAAAGGAGTGAAGCAGATCATTCAGTGTTCTATTGTCACACTTCACCTGGGAGATGTGTTTATTTGATTGTTTATGTTCCAGACCAAAGACCTTGGGCATCTGAGATATTTTTTGGGTATTGAGGTTGCCCAATCAAAGGAAGGCATTGTGATTTCACAAAGAAAATATGCTATTGATATCTTGAAGGAAACTGACATGTTGGATTGCAAGCCCATTGATAGTCCTATGGATCCTAACCAAAAGTTGATGGTTGATCAAGGTGAACTGTTCACAGACCTAGAGAGATATAGAAGATTGGTTGGGAAGCTTATTTATCTCACAATCACAAGACCTGATCTTTGTTTTGCAGTAGGGATTGTTAGTCAATTCATGCAGGCCCCTCATATTAATCATTGGAATGTTGTTTTACGTATCCTTAGATATATCAAAAAGGCACCAGGACAAGGATTATTGTATGAGGACAAAGGAGACAGCCAAATTTCTGGCTATTGTGATGCTGATTGGGCTGGTTGTCCTATAGACCGACGCTCTACTACTGGCTACTGTGTGTTCCTAGGTGGAAATCTCATATCTTGGAAGAGTAAGAAGCAAAATGTTGTTGCTCGATCCAGTGCTGAGGCTGAATATCGTGCTATGGCCTTAATTACTTGTGAACTTATGTGGATTAAGCAACTTCTTCAAGAGTTAAAGTTTTGTGAAGGTCATCCAATGAAGTTGTATTGTGATAATCAAGTTGCACTCCACATTGCCTCCAATCCAGTATTTCATGAGAGAACTAAACATATAGAAGTTGACTGTCATTTTGTTAGAGAGAAGTTGCTATCTAAGGAAATTGTTACCAAATTTGTCACATCCAATGAACAACTTGCAGATGTTATGACTAAATCATTGAGGGGGCCTCGCATTCAGTTCTTATGTTCCAAGCTTGGTGCATACAATCTGTATGCTTCAGCTTGAGGGGGAGTGTTAGAATAGCTTATTAGGGAAGCCTTTGTATTTAATATTATCTTCTTTTGTATGTCTGATCAGCAGTCCTAGGCTCTCAGCAGTCTTAGGCTCTTAGCCTTTTTCAGCCTATGTTGTATGTTTTTATATACTCAAGTAATGAAGAAAGTGTGAGAAACACTTTACCAAAACCATCTTAACATCCAAGTAAATAATAATCCCTTACTTGGACTTGCATTTAGATATTGGAGAATCCTCTTAACTGCTTGAAGGTGTATCTCATGGGAGTCATGCAAAAATTGGCTAACCACACTAACCCCATATGCAAGGTTAGGCCTAGTATGTGATAGATATAACAACTTCCCTACCAATCTTTGGTATTGAGACTTCTCTATAGGTGGACTTTCTTCACTTCCTATCTTGTGATTTTGCTCAATGGGCACTCTTGTTGTCTTGCACTCCAATTTTCACGTTTCTTTCAAAAAATCAAGAATGTATTTCCTTTGAGAAATAAATATCCCTTTTTTGGAGTATGCAACCTTTATTCCTAGGAAATACTTAAGTTTTCCCAATTCCTTCATTTCAAAATGAGTTGCCAGTTTTTTGTATCTCTTGAAACAATCATATGGTGAGTTTGGCATTGGGAGAATGTTTTATGAATAAAGTATGATCACCTTGACTCTATTTGTATCCCAAGGACTTCATGGCTTAAGTAATTCTTCCAAATCATGCTCGAGGAGATTGTTTGAGATCATACAATGCCTTTTTCAACCTACACACTTTGTTTCCATTGTGAGATTCAAATCTTGGGGGAACCTCCATGTATACTTCCTCCTCCAGGTTTCCATGCAGAAAGACATTCTTAACATCAAATTGTTGCAAATACCAACCAAAGTGGGTGGCTAGAGAGAGAATGATTCTTAGTATATTCTTTTTTGTTGTAGGGGCAAATGCCTCCTCATAATTAATGCCATAGCTTTGTCTGAACCCTTTGGCCATCAATCTTGCCTTGTACCAATCTAATGTCCCATCAGATTTACACTTCATTGTGTATATTGATCTGCACCCTACAAATTTCTTGTCTTTGGGTTTGTCAACAATCTTCCAACAGGTTCTGAATCAAACAGATACAGAAGAGTCTAAACCCATTACTTCTCCTGTGACCAGTGGCTGCGAATTGTCAAAAACAGGCTCTGAGGCATTTCTTGATGCTACTCTCTATAGGCCAGTGGTGGATTCTTTGCAATATGCAACTCACTAGACTAGAAATAAGTTTTCAGTAAACAAGGTCTGGAAATTCATGTCTTGACCCTGCTATTGATCAATGTGTGGATGTCCTTACTAAAGCTGTTTCTCCATCAAGGTTGTGTTCTCAGTTCCAAGCTCAAAGTAGTTGCACTAGTTAGAATAGTTAGGTCGAGGTAGAGATCGGAGAAGGTAGAAGAATAGGCATTTTGTTTGTAAATCAATTTATCATTAGCTATGTCATAGATAAGAAAAATCCATGAAAGAAGAATTCTCTCCGTAGGTTCTTTGTTTGCAATACAAGATTACCAAAGCATTCTTTTAGTTTTTCCATCTTTATCAAAACCGTGGGCCAGCATAACAAGATTACCAAAACATTATTTTATTTAGTTTTTCCATATTTATCAAAACCAATCAGCTCAACCGTGAATTGGTCGTATCATATGTCCTGTTTGAAGAGACTATAAAACTATACCTGACTTGAACCTGCACCAAACTGGTTACAACCTGGCAGTTCAATGGGTTTCACCAGTTCGCTATAAATATCGGAAATAAGTTACAGAGTATGCTTCGTTGTAAATATCGGAACTGAGTTACAGAATATGCACCAAACCAAACTGGCTACAAACTGGAAGTTCAATGGGCTTCACTATTTCGTTATAAACATTGGAACTGAGTAACAGAGTATCATGTTTGAATAACGATATGCTTTTATAGGAAGAGTAGAACTCTTCATGTTGAAAAGCAACCGATGTAGGCCTAACAGTTTATTGTTGTAGAAAAGACAACTAAACATTTATCTGCTTTTTTAAGAAGGAAAAATCACTCGAATCTGAAATGCATTGAACTGAGTTAAGACTGCTTTTTAAAATCCTCCTAGGTTTCAAGCATTAAAAAATAGCAAAATTAAAAAATGCTATTCTCCACTATTCTGTTTTAGCTGCTGACTTGCTATTCTATGCAGTTGACAAGTTCACTGCTAAGTAATTTGCTAGATGTCGTTGAGGAGGTTCAATCAGCTCGGATAGAGATTAGAAATTTGGTCGAAGCAAAGTTCTATTCTCATTCAGGTAAACAAAAGTCTTCTTCACTCTTTGAAATATTACTTTTAAATTCTATTCACTTTAATTCATACTGTTTTTGCAGTTCAGCGGCTTGATTTGCAGCTTTCTTTCATTGATTTCTATAGTGGGAGGAAGGTGAAAGCGACCTTTGATATAACATGCTTAAAATGGTAAACTTTTGCATTCTTTTTAATTTCAGTTTCATTTTAAATTATGTGTCCTGCTCAGTTGATCCTTTCTTGTTGGGTTTCCATATGCAATCTCCATTCAGATTTTGTATTAATATCTTATTATATACATCTGCAAATTAAACCTTATTTTTTATTTATTTATTTATTGTTATTAGGTTAAATATGTCTAAATTCCTTCAAATACAGTAGTTTTTGTATATAATCCTGGTATTTTTTTTTTAATTTCTGCAATGTTGGTCGTTAATTGTTTTGGTCTCTGCTATAAATATGACATGAGCATCAATGTTTTTTGTTCATGCAAATATAACAATTTTGTCTATGTCCCTGCATAATTTAATAATTTTGTTTTGGCTTAATAGCATTTTTGACCCTCTAGTATTGTAATTGTGCACTTTTGTTTTCTTAGGTTTTAATTTTGTAATTTTAGTATTTCAATTATTATAATTGTACGATTTTGATCTTTTTAATTTTAATTGAGTAATTTTAGTCTCTTAAATATAGAAATTGTGTGATTTTAGTCCATTTTATTAAAAATCTAACAATTTTAAAATTATATATATATATATA